AGCCAAGGACATGGGTGGCTTTCTGGGCTGCCAGCGCACATTGCCGGCTCGTGTTGAGCTTCTCCTGAGCTAGTCCTTTCATTAGGAAGGGTTACTGGGGGGAGATTTTTGTCTTCCCTCACTACCGCTTTTCACTCTGTAATTTGATTCTTTGCTGCCATTATTCTCCCCTCTCCAGGGCCTTAGGTTGCCCTGTAATATCAGTGCTACGTGCTGCAAGAATAAGACTGACGAAGAATAAACCAGAACAAAAGAATTTTTGTTTCTCCCTGAGCAGTAGTTTGCCTTACCCTGAATTGTACTCCGGTGTCGCTTTTCCTGTGCCGGAGCTGTACCGTCCTGCAGTTTGCATTACGAAGGAAAACTATGAACCAAATTGCAAGAACTTTATTAGGCTTTTTGTTCTTTGATGTTTTAGGAAGTGGTGTTTTGGGAGAGACTAGATCCGAAGTCTCAAATATTAGAATGAAAAAGGCACCTCTTGCACATGGGGAGAAAGGCAGTGCATTTTCCCTGCTAATCCCATATCCGTGCGATCTGGAAGAGAAAAAAACGATTGGCTTTCTCACAAGGAAGTATTTATCGAGCTACATAACGGCAAATGTGCTGGGGTTGTTTGGCCAAAACACGGGATCAGGTTACTGCATTTTTTATGGCATGCTGGCAAAATGAAGGATGTCTTTTTGTCCACAGTAAGACTTGTTGTGCAGGAGGGGCTGTTGTACAGCTTGCAGATTTATCCCGCTGTAGGTACCGTGTTCTCGTGTGTTACTCTTGGTGTGAACACCCCCAGCATCTATAGCAAAAGCTTCTCCAAAGGTTCACTGGGTGTCTGTGTTATCCTCTGGGCACACCGTTGGATTGTATCGTGGGGACAGAAAAATTCAGGTCACAAAAAATTGCTTTACAGGCGATGTGAGCGGGTTGCTGTGGATAGCTGTGAGCGTTTTACTCGGGTGTAGAAACTCATTTACCCTGTCCTAGGGAACTGCCTTCAAATCCATTTGCTTTCTGTTCAGAACAGCTCTGAAAAGAGGCAAAGTAAGTTCTTTTCAGGGGGAAAAATTCTTTTCATCGTTGCTTTTTAGTCGATGGTGCCCTTGGATAGTCAGAAGTCGCAGGGCATGAAACCAGGCTCGGCTGCTTTCCTGGGAGAGCCGCGGGGCTCTGCGGCGGTGCTGGCTGCCCGCAGCCCCGGAGCTGCCCTCGGTTCCCTGCCCGACACGCTCCGCTCTGCGCTTTGGGGTCTCTGCTTTTCCAAAAGCTTCAACTTTGCCTTTGAAAATAGCACTGAGGCCGGGGGAAGGATGGTTCTTTACAGGAAAATAACAGCTGACTGTCAATAGGTGGTGGTAAATGGTGTGCTTTGCTTAGATATAGGCTTTTAAGAAAATAATTTCAATAGACTTCAGATTTGTGCAGGCTCTTACCTCTTTTGTATGAGGGAGGAATTGACTTCTTTCTTTTGTTGTTGTCAGACTTCTGTTAAAAGAGGAATAAACATTCCCTTTCAGATACAAACTGTTTTGTGCAGTGGGTAAAGCGGTAGTAGTTACTCTATTCAGGAGACATTTAGTCTCCTTTTCAGCTTACTCCAGGTATTTTGGCAGATCATGATATAAATCTACACTCAGCTCAAATAGCGTAAACAGTCCTGCCCACCATCCTCCCTTCTTTCCACCGCCCCTGGAAAACCAAAAGGCTGGAGGATCTGGCAGAACCTGCCGGGGTACGGAGAAACAGCCAGAGGTGAGCAGAAGTGTGAAGCGAGGAGTGAGGTGGGAATAGTCACCGTGATGGCTTTTCAGGACAGAAAAGACAACAAACGTGAAAGTGATAAGTTGGATGGAACCTCATGAGAGAGTGGATAGCAGGAGGATGGTGAGTAAGGGTGATGGCACTTTTCTCATGGAGGAGGAGACTGAGAGGCAGTGGTGGATGTTCAAGCAGCAGATACAAAGCGAGGAACAAGTCCTGTCTCTAGAGGTGAATTGTTGACCTTCCTGCTGCAGATTTTCCAGGGGAAAAGAGAAGCTGTGGCTGCCCCCTCCCTGGCAGGGTTCAAGGCCAGGTTGGATGGAGCTCTGAGCAACCTGGTCTGGTGGAAGATGTCCCTGCGCATGGCAGGGGGGTTGGAACCAGGTGATCTTCAAGGTCCCTTCCAACCATTCTATGATTCTATGAAATGGCTGAGAAAGGGATTAGAAAGAAGTGTAGATGAATGGTATATTTTAACGTGCTGACTTGGGTGCGTTCTCCAGATGAAAGCGCCTGGACTGTGGGTTTCTGCAGGCTGGATAACACATCACCAAAGTGCTCCGTACTCGCTTGATTTGTCGCAGTCTTTCCCAAGCATTTGCTGTAGCCCATAGTCAGGAGGAAACGCTGGGCTCCGCAGACCTCGGGTTTGGCTTGGTGTGCAGCAGGTTTTGTGCTTTTGGGACACACGAAGTTCTGTTTTCGAACGTGCCGCCTTGCTTTAGGAGTGGGTCCTGTTGAAATCGTAGCAGAGTAGTAAGGGAGGAAAAGGTGATTTTTGATAATAATAGCTGGAATTCTAGAGAGCTTCAGGTTTCCTGAGGTTAAACACTTTTACTGTACATTTCTCTTTCAGAAGAGCCGAGTTGATTACTGCAGGGTTTTCTATTTGCGTTCCTTTCTGCAGCCATTTCTTCTTGTAGACCAAAGTTGTGCATATTGAGGACAGCAGTAATGCTACTCTCGAGAGCCTCAGTATCCGAATTTGTCTGCACGCCCTGGTCAGTAATGTGGTCAGTGTAATGCAGATAATTAAGCCAAACAAGAGGGCTTGACGAGCTGGTCCCTGAAGAATGTGGTTTTGTCTTTGAGAGGCACTTGAGGGTTCTTACACCTTTGAGAACGGGGTTGGTTTGAGGGTTGGTGGAGTATGCGTACTCACAGTGTCAAAACATTTTCTTTTGAATATCTGAGGAGTTCTGCTGAAAAAACCCAATCCGATAACTCTGTGCTATGAAAATGATCATTACTTTACACAAATTCCTTATACTTCAAATAGATGCACAGAAATACCTGGAGTTTCAATTGTGTGGTTAATACTGACACGTTTGCTATTGTTGCTTTGCTGCCTTTTATTTCACTTCTAAGATTGTTATTTTTTTTTTGTTTTCCAGTGGTCTGATTGTCCCTGAGAAAGACAGCAATGAGACGGTACCAGAAGTTGTTGCTACTTCTGGATATGCTCTTCTGCATTTCTTCAGTGATGCTGCCTATAATTTAACAGGGTTCAACATCACATACAAGTAAGTAGTACCACTCCCAAGTGATGTCGTCGGCTGAGCAGAAGGAGGTTTCCTCTTTTCTGAGTTTTGTCTTGAAATAAGCAATTGCCATTGAAGCATGTAATTATGAGTAGATACTGGAGTTTAGATTTTTATCTTTATTATACCCTTGCGACGGCTAATAACTGTAATGTGCTCAGCATTAACTTCAGTTGTCAATTGTAGGCGTGGGCAAACGTTTACTCATAAAGACATCTTATTATTTATTTTGTGTTACTAGACTTATTTGATCATACTCAGTCAACCAGAACTGATGTATTTTGTGCATGTGTGTGCTCTTATACGTTCTACAGAGAGAGTTCTGCCCAAACACGCGTTTGCATAAGCACACACATTTCCCTTGGGGTACGGGACTGTACCTGCTGTTGAGGATCCTCAAGCACTTTGCTTTGGAATGCTCTTTCTTACTCAGTCTTTGGATTGAAAGGC